CGTCGGAAGCAGGAACCCATCGTACGAAAACCCATCGTACGAAAACCCATCGTACGAAAACCCATCGTACGAAAACCCATCTTACGAAAACCCATCGTACGAAAACCCATCGTACAAAATCCCATCGTACAAAATCCCATCGTACAAAATCCCATCGTACGAAAACCCATTGAACCAAAACCCATTGAACCAAAACCCATTGAACCAATACCCATTGAACCAAAACCCATTGAAGAAAAATACATTACATAATACGAAATTTGAGCTAGCGGGTTTGGGCTGGGTGTCACGAAAACGAAGACCTAAGACAGAAAACCGTAGAAATTACAACTTAAACACACATTAAACAGTAACAACGCTTTGTAATATAATACATTATACTTCACGCGTTTCTTCCCATTATTATCCGTATCATTATACAGCCCGTCTTGTCTGTTCTGTTTCGCTCGAGGGTTTCCTCGGGTAAACTTACAACATATTCTGGAACAACAGGCAGAATTCGAACACTAGCCGCCTTTGATTTATAGTTAGCATTGCGTGACAGAATAACAGAGAAGGCGTTCTGTACAAGAAAAATTACACTTGGGTTCTGTCAATAAATCAATTTCTACTGTATTTCGTAGCTAAAATAGATTCTAACGGTCGTTCGCTTTCTCAACTGGAAAATTCTCCTTAAAAAGTAAGCAATTCTTTTGGCTAATGCAGGATCTTCGTTTTCGTACTACGAAAACCAAGACCCCAGGTCTTCGTTTTCGTCCTACGAAAACGAAGACGCTTTATTAAAAGCAGAAAATCCGTTGAAAGTACGATTGTAGACGTACCCTGAGCACTAGTAATTGTTATTTCAGCTTTTGATATGTTAAGACAGTTCGCGTGTGGTTTTTCTTGTTCTTTCTTCAGCCACCACTGCTTTCGGCTCTTCGATTTGTTTTTCTATGGAACGAGTCCAAATTTGGAACAGACATCCCCATCTAAGGAGTGATCGGAATATTTTAGGGCCTTACTAAGGTTAAGCAGGCTTTATTCGGACTTTTAAGAAAGGGTCCTAGGTCTTAGGTCTTCGTTTTCGAGGGTCTTCGTTTTCGTAACACCCAGCCCAAACCCGCTAGCTCAAATTTGATATTATGTAATGTATTTTTCTTCAATGGGTTTTCGTACGATGGGATTTCGTACGATGGGTTTTCGTACGATGGGTTTTCGGACGATGGGTTTTCGGACGATGGGTTTTCGTACGATGGGTTCCTGCTTCCGATGACTCCGCATACAATTTCCCTTCGTTGGATGACATTGAGTTTGCATTTGATTACTTTGGAACTTCAATTAACGGACTTGACAGTTTGTTTGACGGAGATGACTATCGATTTGATTACTTCGACATTTTGAATACCAAGTTTGAGCAACAAATTTGACACATTTTGTTCGATGAATTTTGTCACATATTTGACTCCATAAGTAACATCAAAATCAGTTACATCACAATCAGTTTTGAACTCTTGTATAAACCAGCAAACACAAAAATTCTTACATGTAAGTGACTTCAACAATGTCTAACATATATCATCACAACAATTTCTAATTTAAAAGTGTGTAAACCCAAATGTAGTAAATTAGGGAGGATACTAACTTATGGTATGCGCATGCCCACAACAATCAGAATTTGTTGTTTGGTTGAGTTCCAGACTATTTAATTTGGAATAAAAATTTGAAAAACAGTTTTTCTTAACATAGCCACCAAAGGGAGTCTGTGTGTCAAATTCCAGTCTGTTAACAAGTAAGGGCTGCACACAACCCTCTCCCATCCTACCCACTCTCAGAAGAATGGAAAATTATTATAAAGCAAAATACTGGCATCAGCCAGTGTCAGTGCTGTAAAGGAAAACCAGCATTGTTCCAGACTCCATAATAAAATTAATAATAATAACAACTTGTATTTATATAGCGCTCATATCTTGAACTCATGGCGCTTTACAGCACTGTACAGGGGACTTTACCAGACTGCTAAGCAGTTTACAATCAAATGAAAGCGAATATAACAGATGCCCCCTCCCCCCAATTCCCAGTAACCAGGCCAGACCACATCACAGTAATCTCGCGAAGTGGGTTCTTTAACGTCCCCTGCCTAACCAAGTTACTAATTAATAGATGCAGGAGACGGGACCTCCATTTATTCGTCCCAATCCGAGAAGACTAGAATATCTAACCATTTCTTGATCGATGTTATAGAAAGGTAGCATATTCTTCTCAATTATTTTAAGAGCCTGAGTGTTGGTCCGGCCGGGGCTCGAACCCTCGACCTCCCGCACAATAGTCCGGCGCTTAACCAATTGAGCTA